GTAGGGGACACATCTCTGCCACATCATATGCTGAGGTCTGCAGCTCAGCTAGCGATAGAGGCCACAGCTCTCTGTCCGTGCCTCCTGACTAGGGAAATCTGTCTATTGGCTTGTTTTAATTTGCTTAACGATGCCTTTGTGCTGCTACTACCATAATTAGGGGATTAGACTGTTGCAAGCCGCTGTTGTCCAAACTCAAAACACTCCAACTCAGATGCAATTGAAGACAGGGTCTAAAACCCACACAGAACAGATCCAATCTCTTAACACAATTACCATCACCTGCCACAGCACTGGCCTCATTAAGGTATTATTGTGGGGAGAGGTTAAACAGAACAAGGTGCATTTCCCATGGGGCTGGGGTCAGGCAATGCCACCCGCATCCCTATGCTGGGTGACACACAGCGCACTGCACTGACCCATTGCAGCTCCAGCTTGGTCTTGTTGATGACCTCCTTTCTCCCTCCCCATCTCACAGTTGTACAGCCAGGACCACCAAGATGGGTCTCCAACCCCCCCGGAGACCATGCTTCTGCAGAGAGCTGCAAATTGCTGCAAAGCCACCTCTGGCTCTCCCGCCTGTAGGCGTGTGCTGGTGGCTTGTGCACGGTCAGGGGACACAGACCACGCCGGCCCCTGCGGCCCAACGCACTGCACCCTCTGGCACGACCTAGATACTCGGCTCGCCTCCGCGCCGCACGCCCGACAGCTTGGAGGAACAGATGGGCACGGCCGGGCCGCTGTGCCAGTGCGGCTTGATTTAATTAAAAACCGCCATGGCTGTAACTTGCTGGCCCTTGACAGAATAGGGGCAGAGCCACTGCAGGAAGCTGCCGTGGGGCCAGGAGAGGAGGGGCAGCAAGTCCCACCATGGGGAGCTTCACCCCCTCCCACTCCTGCCACCACCTGCGATGAACAAGGCATGGCCTGCGGGGTCCTTGTCCCTCCACAGCCTCACTGCTGCCCTTGCAGGCAAGACCCGCTCCGGCAGGGCAGGCAGGGGGGCACAAGGGGCATGCCATCCCGTGGCTGGGGACGGTGGCACATTAAGAAGGAAGATGCCTCATGCACTGTGACTGCTCCCAAATCCAGCAGCTCCAGCCTCAGCACAGCCCAGTGCATCCTCCTGGTCAGATCCTGGGGTTTCCGAAGGAAGATGGAGGGCAGCTTAGGCTACCCAGCTCACATCACAACAGCCCTTCCACAGCACTGCTAGGAGTGCTGCTATGGCAGGCACCCATCACGCAGCAGTCCCAGCCCCCCGGGGGCCCTGGGCAGCATCCTGGGGGCTAGTAGGCACGAGAGGGAGCAGAGCAAGAATGCTCTGGAAAGCTGGCTGCAGCAAAGGCTTTCAGGTCTTCCTGGCATACTGGTTAAAACAGCCCCCGCGAGCCTGGGGACAGGTGCTGGCCACTCAGGGAAGCATCCGCCCTCGCTGTGCCAGTGACTGCTGCCAGCGCAGAGCTGCTGCCACCTGACAGCTCAGGCTGGCACAGTCCCCTCGCCCTCTCCCTGCAGCACTGCACGATGGCCAAAGCAGCTCCTGGGGCCACCCCACCGCCACGGTCCGAGGGGCTGTGCAGCCCAAGCCCCAGCACGCTGGCAGGGCTCAGCACCAGGCTGCACTGGAGGACAGCTTCTGCTTCCACACCGGGGCAAAGGAGGCAAGTGCTCAGCCCCAGGGATGTTGGCATTGCTCTGCAGGGATAAGGCAAGGCAGGAGAAGCATGCGGTGCTTGAATCCAGCCTTCCCTGCGCTGCCCTCAGCCAGCCCAGGACCCCTGCACTGCCAACAGCCCTCCCATGCTCATGGCTCTCCTCTCCAGGAAGGGGAAGCACATCCTTCAGATCTACACCTCCCATCTCCCAGGGGCCACCCAAGCCTCGCTGGCCACCTCAGGCCCCTGCCATCATCCTGCAATAGGGTGAAAAGTTATTTTGCAGACAGCAGTGAGGTCTCCTGGCAGGCAGAGGACCCAGCTTTCCCTCCACAGGACCCTCCTGGAGGAAGCCAGACCCGCTGAGTTACGGCCTCAGACCTGGGGACGGGCAGAGCAACCTCAGGCACACCACAAAAATACCACAGCAAAGGCTTCCCCAGGCCCTGTTTTAGACCAAGAGCTGCTGCCTGTGTTTGTTTCAGATCCCAGTCAGTGCAGTGAAATTAGAGAAGCACTGCACTCTAGAAAAGTCAATATTTCATTAATTAAACCTACACACTTTTGCAGGGGGGCTGCATGCATTTTTATGAAAAACTACCAGAGCGACCAGGACCCTCTCCCAGCATCTGCCAGGCACATCCACCCTGTGCCCATCCAAACCTGCCTCCAGGCTATGAAAACATTTCTGTTGGGACAGAAGCAGCCCCAGCCCTGGAGGAAAAGACCCACTGCTTGAATCCCTCAAATGCCCCCAGCCCAAAAAATGACACTTTTAATTTTCCTCATTCTTTTCTATTTAGCCTAGTTTCATCATCATAAAGATCTAATTTATTTCTGTTGACACAGACATTTTCAAAGGTAAGTTATCTCCTCTGAAGACTGTATTTTAATAATTCACCCAGCAGCCATGAACTGCAAAGCTCCATTTCCAGCCGCAGGCATCCTTCCTGTGTGGT